TATTTGGAAAGATGACAGCACACTGAATTTTAGCTTGGGTAAATATAGTGATGCATTAAAATGAAACCAGGGTTTGAGTAGATTCTGCGATTCATTTCAAAGTATCTTCCTTCTGATTCTTCAAGGTTACCATTCCTATTTATTGTATAGAATTAAGTCAAAAGGAGGGGCATACAGAACAACATTTGTTATGCCCTAAGCTGTAGGCGAGCTCTCTTTACGTGTAGCCCTGTTGAAAAGCAGAGCCATGCTGTAAGGCTCTGAGGAGCCTGCTCCTCTCTCCACTCGGTAATATGTACACGTTCTTCCTATCCTGCCCCCAGACATTCTGTGACTCACTCCCTTACTCCATTTAAGTTTTTGCCCAAATGCCACTTTGGTGAGGCATTTCTCAATTCTGTTCTTTAAAACTGCGACCTCCTACCACCATCCTACCAATTCCCTTCCATGCTGTATTTCTTCAGCATTTTCATCGCCACTTGACATTCAGCTCGTATTAGCTGTTTCTTTCTTAATCATCCCTCTTTTCCTGATATAGTGTAAATTCTATAGGGGCAACATTTTCCATTTGAACTCTAGAGTCTAGAGCAGTGGTTCTCAAGCTGGGGTCCAATGACCCTTTCTCAGGGGTGGCATATCAGATATCCTGTATACCAGATATTTATATTACAATTCATAATCGTAGTAAAAGTACAGTTCTGAAGTAGCAAAGAAAATAATGTTACGGTTGGGATTCACCACTATGTGAGGAACCATATTCGAGTGTTGCAGCATATTAGGAAGGTTGAGAACCACTGGTCTAGAGTAATGCCTGGTGCACAGAGGACAGAGTGAATAAATGGATGATGGAAGTCGATGAGCACCATCAGCATGATGGCTCTCCTGCTTTCCAGTGTGCAGTTTCATGCAGTTCCTTTGCATGCAGTGGTATATGGATGAGTTTTCTCTATATTGCATCATGATGAAGATTCAAACCATGCCTTGTTGCATGCTTCTTTTTTTACTTTGTCACAGCATCAGTTATTGAGTGTGGATGTCCCTGAATTAAAGCCTGTAAATATGATTATGGATTTGATACCCTTTGCAATGAATTTTAACGGAATGTTGTAGCTACTATTACTTCTGTTCCTGCTAGGAGCACACATGGCTCTTTATATGCTCATGAATACTTTCATGAGTATCTTTACATCTGTAAGATGTATGTTTCATTTGTATTTTTACACTTATATATATGATGTTTGTAATTGATGGGTGGTAGTTATAGGAACTTACATAATCATATCAAATGTGAATTTCTGATACATCCATATGTGAAAGTAGATGCGAAACAGGGTAATTAGCAAATTTGTCACCTCAGACTTGTTTTTCATTAGTAATTTTAACCTTAGTATTTTCCTAAAAATAACATTGTTTACACTGTTGGAGATCTAAGTACCACCAGAATTAGTAATTTATTTAGTTTAACAGAAGAAAACAAAGATGGAAAAAGAATCAAAGATTAGTTCCAGTGTCTTCTCACGTATATCTAAGAGCCCAAAGGGAAGGTTGCCTCGATGGCCACTTACAGCACTGCAGTTGATGTCACAATTTTCTTACTCACAGTGGAGGTTGTGTCCCTGGGAGAGGTATTGTTACTGTTTTCGTGATGATGAAGACAGACAACCAGGGATGCCCATGATTTCTGTTGATCGTGAGCACTTCCCCAGATGGTCCTCAGAGGAGTTGTACACTCAGTGAGCAGGAATCCAGACACTGCTTAGGAAGGGCAGTGTGGGGACCCAGTCTTTCTGTGGGTCTGTGGGTGATGTGCATACTTTCTCTTCCTACCTCCTTGCCACATCACTTCATTTCAGGAGTCCCCACACTTGCTGAGCTCCAAAAAGTATGCTGTGTTCTGGTCTTTGGAGTGGAGAAGAATGCTCCAGCAACCACTGACCAGTCCAACCCAGAAAGCAGACACTGTGTACGTCTGAAACAAGAGCCCCAGGAAAGAGCTCCCATGGGTACTTCTTTCTAGGACTGAGATCCAGGAAGTACAGTGAGTGTTCCACATAGGGAGCTGAGGGAGGAGGGGCACATGCTCACCCTTAGAGTCCCAAAGAAGAGGGAGGGAGAGGAGGAAGACTGAGATTCTCATAGGAGTGTCTGGATCCATGAGTTTGGCAACCTACCCGTGTCTGAAAAAAGCATGTGGAAAAGCTTCATCTCTAGTAGAAGTTGATACTTTTATTTAGGACAGAGGAGGCTACAGGTTGAGAAGACTCAGAGTGGTTCCTGGAATGAGACAAATCCTTGGTTTTTCTCTTGGCCTGCCATGTCACAGCCCTTTCTGATGGTCTGAATAGCACTGCTCAGCTAAACCTTTGGTAATGGCCTAGGTTCTGCATATACCTGGTGCTCACAGGTTCGTGTCTGTCCACAATCTCTCCAGTGCATCCCCCTCCAGAGCATCCCCCATCCAGTGCACCTCCCTCCAGTGCATTCTCCCTCCAGTGCATCCCCCCTCCAGTGCATTACCCCTCCAGTGCATTCCCTCTCCAGAGCATCCCCCCCCCTCCAGGGCATTGCCCCTCCAGTGCATTCCCCCTGCAGTGCATCCCCCCTCCAGGATCTTTGTTGTTTTTACATTGTTTCTCTTTTTAAAAATCGGTTTTTCTATCCCTTTAATCCTTCTAGGGTTACCACCAGCCTGTGTACCTCTATATTTCAGGTTTTTTTTAGAGAGATGGGGTAAGCGAGGGGCCTCAGAGACAGAGGGCTGAACCTTTATTATTATTTTTTGAACCTTTATTTTTTTAATTAATTTTCTGTGACATTTTGGTCTGTTTGTTTGCCTTTCATTCGCCCTTTATGATAAACATGCCAAGAACTCTGCCAGCTTTGATAGTGTCAGATGGTCTGATAATTTAGGTTGGATTCGAAGGTGCTCAGAATATGCTTTAAAGAGGTTGGAAGACAGGACCAGAGAGAACACTAGAGTCTAAACTTACGATGGGAATGACCTAGTCATGGTTCATCGTGTAAAACCTTATCCATTCTCATGTAAGGTAGAAGAGGTTTTTGTGATGATTCATTTTCCTAAATAGTCAGTGGATATTTTTTACGAGGTGTACAACCACACCAGACTCTCTCAGTTCTAGCTGCAAGTTGAGTCCCCTGAGTTTTAAAGAAACACTGGTGCCATACATTCTGTCCAATCCTAAGGGTTCTCCCTGAACCAAATTCATGAGATACGTGTAAGTGGACACATGTGGTCTTAGGTGGCTTCCTTGGAGATTCCAGTGCGTGGCCAATGGATGGTGGAGGTGTTAGAGGTTTCTGAGTTGTAACTCTAAAATAATAAGGATGTTTAGAAAATTGTTCCTCAAGAGAGAGTCAGAGATGTAGGAAATACAGTAAGTGGCAGAAGTTTTGGAACCTTTGAATCTTGGGGTTCTTTGCAGGAGTAAAGGGTACTTTGCAGAATGCAGTGAAACTTGAAGTATGGGCCAAGAGCTGATGCCCCTGGAATTACCTTGGCTCTTTTAGAAATACAGACTGTGGTCCTCCTCCCCAAGAGCTACCAAGTCAGTACCTGTGGGAGTGTTACCCCGCAGTCTGCATTTCACAACACCTCTCAGAGGCCCTGATGAACTGTGAGGTTTGAGAAGTGTTTTGATAGAGAGTGAGTGCACGACTGGGAGGGAGATAGGAAAATCAACCCACTGCCAGCCACAGAGGGACAGCCTCCCAGGCTGCATGGCCCTGGGGCCAGTGTCCTCAGCCACTGAGTATGGCAGGGTTTAGACCTGGCTGCTGGGAGCTGTCCCTTGGAGTATTTCACTTGGTTTTAAAGGCAGTGGAGACCAGATGTTTCAGAGCCCCTTTAATTTGCCATCCTTCACAGGACTCCTCTTTCCATTCCTAGACTGACTTTCCCCCCAGATAGCCACGTTGTGACACTTTGATATTATCCAAAAGTGACTAATTTGGCTATGGAGACTGCTTCCTATAGCTGAAATTCGAGAACAGCCACTTACATGTAAAGAATACTTCAAAATGGAGCATCAAAACTGCATTTTCCAAGGGAGAACAAAAATGCTTTTTAAAATGGTAAAACAAAAACAAAAATCTGGTGTCTTTTTTTCCCAACTAAATTTGTTTTAAACCCATTTAAAATATTTTATACCATGCCATACAGCTTTGGATGTTTGCCTCAGACATCAGTGGGCACATACCTTTGTTCTCATGCATTCTTGTCGGCTGAAGAGGTTGGGGACCTTCTTATATCTTGAGTGTATTGTACTCAGATATCTGCATCATCTGCCTTGTGGTCAAGTGTCCGCTCATCTGTCCTGTGGTCATTAGTGTACACAGTGAAAGCTACATTTCTTCCTGGGTGTGAATCACGCAATCGTTTATCACCTAGTTAGCTTCTCTTACCCCTGCTGTTGTGTGGAGTCCTATGGTTTCACTGTGTTGTAGTTGATTTTATTCAACATGACTTGTATGCTGGTATTCACCGGCCTTACTGCCTGGAGCGGGCTTGTGGTCCAGGTCATACTGTTCAAGGGGGCGATAATACAGCCTCCTTTGCCCTGCCTGTACGTAAGCTTTATTTTAGTTAACTTCCAAAAGTTTGTCTTCCTCATGCTTGAACTTCTTCTTATCCTTACATCTATACAAGTCTTTTCTTCCTCTGCTTGAATAGGATTTTATTAAGGCCAGTTAAAGTCTAATACATTTCAGTATCCCTAGTACCCCCCCCCAACTCGCCTAATGTACTTGACCCCACTAGACTAACTGTTATGCCATTTTGAAATATGAAATTTCATAGGCCTTTTGCCCTATGAAAGCGAAGGCTATTAATTAAACCAAAGTTATCTAAGAAAGGCAAATTTCTATATAAGGCACACAAATTGGTCTAAAACAAGCACAGTAAATTGCCAGCAGGTGTATTTTTAAAGAGGACTATGAAACGGCCTGCCTGTTAACGTTTCGTGTGTATTTCCTTTCCGTAGGTGACTTTTTCCCACCCCCACCTCCACCTTTAGATGATCCCGGTACCCTTCCACCTGGCTCTGGACACTTCCCTCCTCCTCCACCACTGGATGAAGGTGCTTTCAAAGTCCAGGTAAGAGCAGTGGCAGAAGTTGGGTTTGTTAAGACATTTGAGGATGCCTGGGAATTCAGTGACCGTTGTTCTGTTGATGAGCTTTACCCAGAGTCTATAGAGGACTTTGCAACTTACAAGGAGTTACCATACTGGCTTACACTCTGAAGCCATGGAAAAATATTACCCACTAATTTCATTTTAAAACCAAAGGTGATTTTCTTTTAAAGAAATGCTGTTTGAGAAGTCTACAGTTTTTGGCATAAAGCCAGGCCTTAAAAAAATATCTTTCTTCTCTGTCCTTAAGCTTTGTATTCTATATGAGGAAGAGTGATATTTAAGGCTCTGCTTGTTCAACGTGGGCCCTCACTGGCAGCAACATTGTTTTCACAAAAGCAATAGTAAGATGCCGCAGGTCCTTTTCTTCTAGGTGCTCGAAGGTGATTGTTATAGGTTTATATCAGTGATATGTGAGTATTATGTTCTGGAGAATACAGGTCACAAAGTAACTAACTGCAGCTACATGGAGAAGTGTAGATTCTTGCTGGAGAAAGAGATTTTTGCTCTGACCAAAGGTGGCTTGTGACCAGCACCCCCACTTAAGGCTGAAGATAGCGTGTCAGGGCAGAAAAATTATAAAATTATAAAGATTGCCGTTCTTAGATAAGGTGATGTTAATGTAGATATGGAGAAGATACAAATCAAGAATTTGTCTTAGAGAAAGTGATTTTTCAGATGAGATGGAATGGTGTTTGGTGTTTACCTATACACAGTCAAGCATCAGAAACCTATGAGTTATACCACAGACCAGAGACACTGAGTTGATGTTGGTGACTGTTTTGTGGTTTGTTCTGTTATTTGGTCTGCCTTCGTATGCGTTCACCGTGTTCCACGAGGAATGTGATGGAAGAGTGTAGGGTCTGGTCTCTTGTCCCTTCTCTTGAAGTTTAGGTTGGGAGAGCAAAGTAGAAATTACTCCGTTGTTTCCCAGACAATCTTTGTTCCAAGGTAGATATGATCTGAGCACTTGAAATCCCGTGACACGAAAGGCAAGCAGTTTGTGCGCTGTGGAACTTGCAAGTCAACAGAGCACAAGCATTGTGCATTCTGGTGGGTGTGTACTAGGGGAAGCAGGCACAGGGTGGCTTTCGAGAGTGACCTTGGTCAGTGACACCTCCTCAAGACAGTACCACCAAACAAAGGCTTAAAGGAGAAAAGGCTTTATAAGCCAGATGGATTCTCATGGAGTATATCTTCACGAGGTTTATTCATGTTTTAATGAAATAGTCTTGCCTGCTTTTTATATACTGTTGTTTTCTATTGGAACACTTCTTTATGTGTTGGTCAATGGACATAATTTTAAAATTCCCTTCTGTTTTCTTTCCTGGATTGTTATTAAATCTATTGTGCTATATTTTGAATATTTCTGCTCCAAGGATTGGCTGAATGTCTGCTGTTTGAAAAGTAGTTGAGAAGTAGGTTCTAAGTTAGTGACTTTGGGCAGTCACACCAGGTCCTAGCTGTCCTTTGGAAAGAAGTGTAACCACACCGCCTTAAAAAGATCATAATGTACTAAGGTGTCTCAAGGTGCTAATTGAAATAGCTAGATGATATTTTGATATTCCTACTGATATTGTGTAAAGCAAATAATAGCAATGATAGTAATAAAGTTATGATAGGTACTATGTGAAGCTACTAATCGCAGTAACAATGGAGTTTTGTCCATGGGTTCCATTTAAAAACCATCCAATCCATGAACATAGGACTTTACACTAATTGCTCCTTGCTTTGCTTTTATCAGTGTTGCATAGTTTCACTGTGAACATCTTTCATACTGTTAAAAAATTGTACTTCAATTTATTTGTTTTTGTAGTTACTATGAATGTGACTCCTTTCTTGATTTCTTTTTCAGAGTTGACTGTTAACATAAATAACCTACTTACCTTTATATGTTGACTTTATATCATGCAATTTTACTGAATTATGTTTTCTAGAGTCTTGGTTTTGTCCGTGTGTGTTCACTGTGTCTGAAAACAGGCACAGTCCGTCTTACTCCTTTTTTTAGTTTGGACTCACCCCTTTTAATTCTTTGTCTTGTCTAATTGCCCTGGCTAGGACTGCCAGTACTGAGCCAAATACAATCAGTGAAAGTGGAGTCCTTGTCCTGTTCACGGGGCTTTCATGGAAATTACAAACAGTCTCTTTCTCTGTGGACTTTGCTGGGTGTACTCAAGCCATGGCTTTGTTTTTGAAGAGGAAGGAAATAAACAAGAAGCCTGTCGCCATGCTGGCTCATGTTCTCGAAAACAGAAGGGAGGTTGAGAAAAAATAAAGCAATGTTTGCCAAATGGAAAAGGACAGATCTGGGAGGGAGACGGTGTTGTTTTTGAAGCTCTTCATCTGAGCTTCTTGGTAACTTAAAAATGATGCCCGTGCCCTCCTCTCGGGCAGGAGTGAGTCGGATGTGAGAGTGACGACCTTGCTCTGGCTGTACATCAGCACCTTTAGATAGAGCTCAGTGCAGCTGATGCAGGGTGATCCCTGGGAACGGTTTTCTACTTTTTCCTTCTTCTTTCTGGTAAAACCTCATCTTGCCAATTCCAAATCATAGCTGGTAAATGTGTGTTTTATGTAGAAGTCTGTTTATATTTCCAGCCAGATTTTCAGCTCAGAGCCAGAAGACTGTCTACTAAGAATGACTACTGCAAGATCCTCAAGGCTGAAAGGGACTTGGGTGGTCATTGAATCCAAGCCTGGGGCCAGATTTCTCAATTAGAGCACATCAAGCACTCACTGAAGGAATTAATTCCTGACCCTCTTTGGAAATGGGGAGACTGAGACCCCAAGAGGTGTCTGTAGATAACCCTGGTTCTGACAGAACTCTCAGCCAGAAGCCTTTCCTCCTGGCCATGGCCCCTCCCCCATGTTGATTGTTTGTGGGGTGCACTTGGCTCCTCTTAGCCCTCTATTAAGCTGTAAGGCTCTCTGATGCAGAGTAAGGGCTTGCATGCCCTATCAGGCAAGAACAGGTGCTGCTGGAGTTTAACTTGGCTCTCTACATATTTGATATATGCTGCATAAACTTCCGTACAAAAGCAAAAAAAAATATTTAGTGCAAAGAAGTATTCTTGTCTTGAGAATTCACATTTTTATGGAAAGATGAATCTGAACACAAATAGGAGATTTGGTGTGCCTTTTTTTTTTTTTTTTTTTTTTTTTTTTTTTTCGAGACAGGGTTTCTCTGTGTAGCTTGTAAAGTTTGTACTGGCCCCTCACAGTCCATGT